TCACCTGCTCTTTCATTCCCTGCCAGGACTGACTTCAAAATTTGTGAGGGGAGATGCTTTGCACATCTTATTTGTGCATGGAGTTCATTCTCATTTGTTAGGATCAGTTTTGCATTTTCTTTGTTGGAAGGATGGGCATGGCAAGCAACACAAAAAGCCTTGGGAAAGGCTGGGGGTGGTGTGGGAAGCCTTGCAAAAGGTTTACAAAGACTTGAACTCCCCCACCAGACTCACAAACCTCAAATTGAGCATGTTTACAAACCCAAAAGAACCCCACACTGCATACCCCAGTTTGAATGCCAAGGGCTCTGAAACAAAGCACCTACTGCCAGCAATGCTGGTAGTTTGCAGGTCCCTGCTGAGCACAGATGTGTGGCTTGAATGCTGCATCTTAGAAGCTATGGAATCTTTGCACCAGCTTGTGTTGGTGTATGATCAAGCTGATGTGTTCCTTACCAAATCAGAATGGGAATCAGCATGGAACCTTGCAAAAGGGTTTTGGGACACTTATGCCGCGCTTAATGCATGGGCCAAGGAAGAAAACAAAAAACTATTTCACATAGTATATAAGCATCACAGCATGCTTCATCTCCTTTATAACTCACAGTATCTCAACATCAAAGCACACTGGTGCTTTTCCAATGAGGATTTTGTTGGGAAAGTCAGCTTGCTGACATTTTCCTCATCAAGTGGGGTCAGAAGCACCAGGCTCTCTGCCAAAATGGCACCCAAATATAAGATTCTTCTGTCTCTTTTGCTGACAAGGGACAATTTCAAAGAAACTGAAAGGCTATTCTGACCTTGCAAAAGGGAAACCTTTGAAAAAGGGCACCTTTGAAAAAGGGTAGTTTCACCACAAAGTGGCAAGGCAAATCTTTTGCTGGACCATCAGCAAATACTGAAAAAGCATGACTTGTATTGATTTGCAGATTGATTTTTTTGATTTTGATATTGATTTATAGATTGATTTTGCAGGTCTAAAAGTATGCATTTTTGTATTGAATATGAGCTGCAAACTTTGCTTTTTTTAGATTGATTTCATTTTCCCCAAAATCAATCTGTGGAAATTGATTTTTGTATGGAATCAATCTGATAATCAAAAGATTGATTGTAATCAATATCCGATGCTCAGGGTTGGCGCAATACTCGACGACCGACAGGAGAACATGTTCCCACCGAGAACTTCGAGAGCAAGACGATACATGGGCATCATGGAGGTGATCAGATGGCAGGAATCTGGGTACAAGAAATCGAGATTTCAGATCCTGGCAGCAAGGTTTCCGAGCATCATGAACCCGAATGACGCAGGAGCCGACAGACTGGAATTGGCCCACATGGGACACGAACCGGGCGAGATCGACGCGGTATTCGGCAGGTGCGATGGATGGTACAGACCTTGGTGTATTCGGGTCACGACTGGTCACAGCGACTTCGGATTCATGAGCTCATCCGCATTGGCGAATAGGTATTCCGCAAGGATGGGTGATGCTCTTGGAGGAGCATTCCATGTGACATATGTGGAAAACCTGCCAGGCATCGTACGCTGCGGGCTGGTCCCCGGCGGAATCGGTGGCGGGAACAGATTGGCATTGCACTTCCGGGCATTCGCTCCATGGGACAAGGCGAACCTGGCGACGAAGACGACGCTGCGCAACCTGCGGGTTGGGGATCCGATCGCAATCATCTACATTCCCAGTGCGACTCTCGCACGGTATGGAGCTGGAGTTGCGTTCAACGGGACGTTTATGGTCTTCGATGTGATCCCGTTCTATGAAGTCAAGTCCATCTGGATCGGCAAGAGCAACGAAGGAAAATGCCTGGAGATCGAGGACGTCAAGCGGGAGTACTCGAAGTGCGTCGAAAATGAGATCTGTCCTGGTTTCGTTGGCTCTTCCAAGAGTCGGCCATAATATTCCTTCAGAACATTGCAAAGGTCATCGAGGAATCGCCGGAAACAGAGGCGGGCGCCGACAATCTGCACTACATTCGAGAGATGGTGGATCGTGCCTGCAAACTGTTTCGGGGAGGAGCACGTGAAGAGCTGGAGACTCTAACCAACGATATCAGAGATGAGATCAGCAAGACCATCATCCTGAATGACGAGACATGGGAAGGGCTCAGATGCCGAATTTGTCCGTCATGCGCAACCGCAATTCCTACTTACTTCTGACTGTATATGCCTGGAGTGTGAAGCGCAACTGATCTCGACTGGGAGATTCTGCGTCAACATCGACTCCGATGATGATGATCATAAACCCAACATGTCTGGAGATGCCAGACGGGCTCAGGAGGAAGCGAACGACAATGCGGCAGCGCAGGAAAAGGGTGATGCAATGGAAGATGATCCCGAGGATGACGATATGGGCACACAAGAGGAAACATCCGGCTACGTGTCCGAGGAAGAGGACAACGAATGGAATTACCGCGACAATGACATGGCAGGACGGGATATCATCAACTCCCAAAGGATGGCAATCTGCATGGATGAGCTGCGTGAAGCTCAATACATGGCAGGGTTCATTGCGCTGCAGATGTCAAGGTTGCGGGGGATGTTCGAGGCTGGCGAGAAGAGAGCAAATGATGCCGCACTCGAAGGGATTGCCTCGTGTCCATACGAACATTTCAGAGGTCGATCGAGATGGTATCATTTTACCATCCACTGAACATAAGATTTCTCAATCTCATAATGTTCGGACAAGGACCTACAGGACGATCGGAGAGCGCACCCAACACATTCGTTATTTGGCGCTCAAATGTGAGGGGCTGTACGTTTTCTACAAATTGTGGATTGCAGCAAAGATCCTCGACGTCACCAGGGATGAGATGAAGCTATTGGTCAGCGAACGCAAGCATCCAGTGGGGGACATCGTCTACAGATGCTTCTCCCTGGCATTCAACTGCAAATATATATCCTTCGCGAGGACCGGGCTGAACCTTGGTAGGCATGGATATGTGGTCAACGTGAGCGCTATCATTGCGGCCACTGACCCGGGCAAGTGCGACGGACCACTGCTTGACTGGTGTGTCCGGAAGGGGCATTGGCTTACAGAAGAGCACCACAAGAAGTATGTCCAAGACGAGAAGCCCAACACAACTTGGACGAGGAATTCCGTCGACGCATCACCAAGCTGGCCATTGTGGGCCGACCTACGTGATGCAGGAGTGGATCAACGTTGCACTGACGGCATGGCGCGGGCCAGTCCCCATCTATAGCCAGCAACATATTGATTTCACTACGATGGAATGGACTACGAAATGAAGTGATTCGTCCAATGGACATGATTATGTAATGTATCTACATATTCCGACGGCTATGGCATTCCGGATATTCATGGATGTGCACTATTACCTCATGGATGATTCCGTTTCCTTATATTTCATGATATCTGGAATGGCTATTTTTGCATACATATTGCTCGCCATTTTCTTCTATGCCGGTTATGTACGGGTGGCTTATGATCGCGCACTGCCCTGGATTTCTTTGGCCAACCCATTTCTGTGGATGACAGCTGCGCGATGCGCAAATGCGGCAGCTGGGATATCCGATGGCTGTGTTGTGTGCAAGGCATAATGCCTCTGCCTCCGCGTATAGAGATGTATCACGATCTGCGGATGCATGTTTCGATTAAATCGAACCCGGCTAGGTTTCACAACCAGTGCAAACTGTTGTAAGGGGGTGTTGTCCAGTAACCTCACACACGTCCGATGTCAGCAGCGCGATTGAACCTGTTTTCTTTCACACGGATCGATCACAGGTGAACGTTGTTCATGCAAGACCTTGAGCCCTACTTGTAACTTGAGCCAAAAGTGGCGTCCAATGGAACCACTTCAATCAACAAGAACATGGACCTCAGAACGGCTTCCCAATATAGGCACGGGGCCAGGAGGGTTTTAACATCCCCATTTGGGTCGCACTGTTCATCATGCGGTCCAAACATCACAACAAGTTCCAATGGCCACGGCTCCGATTACGAAACTGGCTATAACGGTTTGGGCCGTATACCCTTTCTACGTGGTTGAGTACATTCAGCTTGAGGCTCGGTGTACAGCGTCCCACGGGACGTCACCTTGCCATCTCTTGACATTTAGTGTGGGCCAACCACGGAGTTTGCGCGGCAATACCAGGCACATTTCTTGTGCATAGGCCAGGTGTTTGCTTATACCAGTGTTTTAGTCGTGTCACGTAAAACGCCATGGTTCAATGCATACCCTACTTTTTGTTAGGCAATTTGAGCAGGAACCGCTGTTTTTTTACTAGCCCCGGCTCGGGGCTTAGCCCCGGCCAGGGCTCCGGTTGGTTGGTTGGTTGGTCGGCTGGGCCGCCGCATCCCCGGTTACTTGGGGTCAGGGTTGCGTATTGGCCAGAGTTGCTCGGGCTTAACCGGCCGCATCCCCAACATCACCAGCCTCAGGGTGAGAGTTTAAGGTTGACTTTGAGTCGGTTTGGGTTGGCTTGGGGATGATTTGCGCCAGGTGTGCGGCTGGTTAGCAGTGGCTTTTGGGTTGCTTTAGGGATGTGGTTGCGCAAGTTTTGGGGTAGGTTTGGGATTGGTTGTAGGGCTTTGCCCCAAACCACCAAACCTAGCCCAAAACTTGCAACGGCCACGCTGAGGCCACGCGGAGCTCATTGGGGAAGATGCATGCTGATGGAACTTGGGATCAGTTTCCTGTCGCAAGCGCAACGCCCACCCAACAGTTTGAGGCCCTGAGGCGGCTTATCTTTTTTGTTTTTGCGTGTTGCTCCTTGAAAGAGATTCCGGATTCCTCGTGGAAGTATGCCAAAATTGCCCCCAACAGAAGGGTGTCCGATTTCGGAATTTCGGACGGACCAACCTGATGCAGTATGCCTGTTTTCCTTCAAACAGGTCATTTCCCATTGGGATCGCTTACACGAATTCCTATGAGAATGAGGGAACAACCCAACAGTTTGTTGGGCCTTCCTATTTAAGTTTTTTAGGGAAAGTTTGTTGGTTTCTTTCGTGGTTTCAGCCCTCGCCGAGGTTGGGCGAGCTTTCGAATTCCAGGCAGGACGTGCGGCAGTGCGGGGGGCGGCCTCTCAGCTACCCGCCATTGACTGCACTGGGTGATTCCAATGAAACGAGATCCTCATGCCAGATGGAGGCTTCCCTTGTGCCGGTACAGATTTGGGAGTAGGGGTCCCCATGTTGATCCCCCTTTTTACTCTTTTGTCTCAACCCAGGCCTGCGTTTGCACGGATCCGTTGTTTGCTCCAGGACTATGTCGGCACTTTGCGTTGAGACAAGTCGCTGGCATGTGAAATTTAGTCGAGTTTTGGCGCCGTGCCGGCCCTCAATTTTCGTGCAAATGTCCGGTACTATAGCCCCCTTTCCGCAATATGTCCGCAATTGCGCGCAAACACGAAAAGTGTGCACATGCTTCTGCCAGTTTCAGTTCTTTTCAGGCAGAAGATGTCCCAAAGCGCCCGCATTGCCAACCAAAAACTCGATTCTGAGCCAGATGTGGTCAGTTGAAGCTGCGCCGTCCCCTGTCAACCTGGAAGCGGTGTTCTGAGTTCTTGGAATCTCAAGGTTGACGCTTGCTTCTCTTGCTTATTAAGCTTGCTTGTCAAAGTGCAAGGCTAAGCTCGACAACGCCCAAGAAGCAGCCAAAATGCTTGTTGGTTCATTGGATCATTCAGGCGAGTTCTGGTCCACATGGCGCACACTTATCCTTGTCCTAGTTGTTTTGAACTGCTCGACAGGCTGATGTCAAGGCGACAAACACCCAGAACCTTTACCCAAACCAGCCGGAAACGCCGCGTGCAGTTCTTGGAACATTGTGTGTTTTTCTTGAAACGGACACTGTTCCATTCTGCGAACTATAGGTTGTCCAAGGTGTTTGGAAGGCCGAGCTCACTTAGCAAGGCCCTGCCCAAGAGGTCTTAAAGCAAGTCGTTCATAAGCTTGCACGCCCAGAAACTTGGTCACACCTTGGAAGCCAGTGAAAGAGAGCGTGGCAAGGCTGTTGCATCATTCGTGCCAGGTGGTAAACTCATGGGCCCTCCATCTGCCAAATGCTTGTCATAGCCATGTTGTTTGATTTGCTGCTTTTGCAGACCTAGGCTCACTGGCAACTCATCACTGGTGCTATGGAGTCTATCCGGATTGAAGGCATGTGCCCAATTGGTGTCCTTTTTGGTTGTTTGGTCGAAAAATAGATGGCCCTGGTTTACCTGGTGGTTTAATCATCTACCAGGGCCATCTTCGTTGCGCGTTTGTTGATAGGGGATGAGAGTTGACGGAGCAGCTTGCCATCTTGCTCTTAATTAACCCTAAGGCTCTTTGGTATGTGCATTGGAAGGGTCGGGATGTGCACTGAAAGGGTCCGGCCTAAATACTCTGCTGATGACGTTCCGGGGCTCTGGCAGTTCACAGTTCGACGCCCCAGACCCGTCTTGAGCGCACGCGACAAGGTCTGATGTCCAGAAAACAGTAAACAAGCCCAGGCGCTATGTAGGTGAAGGCTGGGCGGCTTGAGTCCACAGTCTTATCTGCAGCGCGTTACCTGTTGTTTCGGATGTACCTGTGGGCTGGTGATGTGTCTTTATGATGTTTGGAATTTGGCAGCTTCTTGACAGGAATCCAGTGCTATCCCGTGTTTGCCAAAAGGTTGCTGAGTTTGTTTGTTTGTGTGCGTCTGACACCCCATGAGCTGTGCGAAAACCATTGGTTACACGCTATCGCTGCTCTTGGCTCGCAATGGCGTAAAGTCACTGTTTGTTTTTACAGGCCAGTTGCGTGCCGCTTGTAACGCTGCGCGTCAAGGTCGGGCGTCGGACGCGTCGGGAAGCGAATGCTTGGGCCTTCAAAATTAGGCAAACCGAGGGCGCGAGGGCCCGAGCATCGGAAAGCCATCGGAAACGTCGGGAAGCCGTCGGAAACTTCGGGAAGCCGTCAGAAACGTCGGGAAGCGGTCGAAAATATCAGGAAGCCGTCGGAAACGTCTGGAAGCCGTCGGAAACGTCGGGAAGTCGTCAGAAACGTCAGGAAGACGTCGGGAAGCTGTCGGAAACGTCGGGAAGTCGTCAGAAACGTCGGGAAGCCGTCGGACAGCCGTTAGACAGTTTTCGGAAAATGCCAGCATGAGTGAGAACGCGTCGGAAAATGTCGGAAAGCAGATGCGCAAAGCCGTCCGAGATCTGTGTTGTGCTAGGTTCAGGGGCACGTGCTCACTTGTGCTTATCTATTTGTCCATGCCAACTGAGTCTTCTGTTTGCTAGCCAGGCCGGTGTGTGGGCCAATGGTTTTTGAAGGATAAGGTTTGCAGCCCGTAGTGGCCCTGGGCAGCCTGGGCCCTCGCTACGAGCGGTCGTGTTTCTATGGCCCCTCGCCATTCTGTTTTTGAGGGCCCGATGCCAAACGACGCCCCGAAAAGAGTTGGGGTCCTTAGTTAAGCAACACCCAGCATTAGATGGAGCCGGGAGGAAGGATCAATGGAAAACGAGAGGATCGCTTTTGCATTGGCTGAGCCAGACGGATCTTGCCCGGCACAGCTCATTCACTTGTCGATGTTCCAGAGCTTTTGGTAGAGAACAGCCAAAAGAGTCCCTATTTTGAACCCCCAGGCAGCGCAATGGATTCCTGTCGGCCGTTGTTTGCCCAGGCCAGCCACGGGAATCTCGCGAGCTTCAAGATCAGAGGCAGCTTGCAGCGAGTCGAGCGCTGCAGTGCCTCCCTCCCAGCTCGGTATGTTGGCAAAGCGCCAAGGAGAGTTTGTGAGTTTTAACACTTGGTCTCTGAGCACAAACAAGTCTTAACATGCTGTAATTTCAATCGCATTTTGCCTGTTTGGTGTGTTTCATTGGTAAGGTTTGGGCCGATGTTAGCATACAGTATCAGTATCTCGCGGCAAAATGGTTGAACTAGACCCCGGCATTGGGACTCACTTCGAGACATGAGATCTTCGGACATGTCGGTATGCCAACCTGCTTGGCGCTGTGTGTCGTTTTTTGTTGCATGCCATTGCCCGCCAGACGCCGGTCTGGTGAAGTGTTGATTCCTTGAGTTTGAACGTAAGAGGTTTCCCCCCTCACAAGAGCAGGCGGAACAGCGGGGGGTTGACAACTTGTCCACGTTAGCGTTTGGCAGGCCAGGGTGACATGGATTCATTTGAACAGTTGTTTGGATCTTGGCCAAAATGGCACCTCGGGGCCATTTTGGCTCAAGAGCCAAAAGTAGCCCTTATCCATGTTTCTGTCAGACGCGCGCAGTATTGCACTGCGCCAGCCGATAATGCGGCAAACCTGCTGGGCTTTCAGCAAGCCATTGCACGGCTGGGGAAGACTGGATATGGATTTGTCTCTACTGGGTGGGTTGCTGGTGGTCTACCTTTTTGAAACAGCCCCAACAGAACAGAGCCCTCAAAATACCCGCGTGGCCACATCCTATGCCCTCCTCCGACATGAAGCAGCAGGACGACGCTATTACCCTTTGTTGATTTTTGGAGGAGTTGATTGTAGATTTAATCATCACCTTTTGGGCCTATTTGAGGGCAAGGGGGGAGATGCAACATTGTACGACAAGCTTAAAAAACAGCACACTCCTGGGTGGCTCTTTGACCTTCTGATGACCTTTCAGAAAGCGACTGTGTCCCCAAGCAACAGGCTGAACATTTTGCAAGGGGTCAACATTTCCCAACCCGCACAAAGTTGTGACGGGTGCTGCGTCAGGCCCAGCTGCGTGACAACGGCGGCACCTCCGACGAGCAAACAGAGGCCCTGGCAGTCGAGCGTCCGGGCAGCACTGGAGATTCAGTGGAAAAATGGTGCGTTTTGACAGGTGCAACCCTTCCACGACAGATTCCTGAAGCGCTTTTGAAATGGGCTCTGTTGAGCAAAGTGTTGCCGGAAAGAGCATGGGAGCCAGTGCATGTTCACCTTGCCCGCAAAAACAGGTGACTGGTTTTTTCAATCCCAGCAAGAGAAGGGCTTTGGCGTTGAATTTGGTTGCAATCCACCCTTGACAAAACGAAACCAGGTCCAAAGAAGTGAGGAGCCAACCCCAGCAGACTACACTCCTACCTAAGAGCTTGGAGCAAACCTGCTTGGCGCAAAGGTGGCCACGGTGTGCCTCGGCTTGAAATCTTCCGAGGAATGAGCGGCCTGCCTCCCAGGTGGATTCCAGGCAGGTGGGCACTGTTTGGGCTCCGAAGCTGGCAGAACATGAGGCTGTAGATCGCAGAGTGAAAGCAACTCTTCCCTGCATTTGGTTGGCTCAGAGCCAGTCGTGAGCCGAATTTATTGCCTGCGGTCCAACATGTTCCATGGTCTGGTATCCTTGCTTGCGTGTGTTTGTTTCTTTCATTGAACGGTCTCAGTAATGCTGTAGCCAAGCAGGGCCCTTCGCATGCGGCGAGGGAGGCTTCTGACTGGCTGCGCTGCCAGCTCCAAAAGAGTGACCCACACACACACACACACACACATGATGCCAGAAGAGGGAAAAAAGAGCTGAGTTTCACGCATCCAATCTGCTTATGCTTGGCCCCAAAATCACCATGGATAACTTTTCCGATGTTGTATTTAATGTCATGTTGCTCGGTGGTTTCCCTAATGGTCACCCCTTGTAAAGGACCTTCTGATCTACTCCCACATCCAAGCGTGAATGAATAATAATGACTTTGACCAGTGTCATGGCATCGCATCGGACTGCTGGCTTGACTGCTCAGAGGGAGACATGTTTGAACCTTCCCACCGGTCCTAAGCATTCAGTTTCATGCAGCTACACCTGTGCTTGTCTGTGTGTGTGTGTGTGTGGGTTGTGCGTAAGTGTGTGTGTGTGTACTTGTGTGTACTTGTGTGTACTTGTGTGTACTTGTGTGTACTTGTGTGTACTTGTGTGTACTTGTGTGTACTTGTGTGTACTTGTGTGTGTACTTGTGTGTACTTGTGTGTGTACTTGTGTGTACTTGTGTGTACTTGTGTGTGCGTGTCTCTCTGCGTGCGTGATTGTGTGTGTGTGCGTTTTTCATGGCTTGTGTTCGTATGTGTCCATTTGTGGCTTTGTGTGTCTATGCCCATACTTGTGTTTTCTTTTGTGTGTGTGTGTGTCCGTGTGAGTGGATAGGCTGTGATGGCTGCTTCGAGGTTGGCCGTGTTGTTTTTCTTGGCCAGGCTCATTGTGTGCCTTTTGCGCTGATTGCTTTTTGCAATACACAAATCAACCCGTCATGGATGAGCCCCCAAGAGCCAAAGAGGGTCTCCATGCCAATGGCCAGAACTGCACTATATACTCATAATGATTATATATATATATATATATGGTACAGCGTTGCCAGCCCCCCCCCCCCCACCAATGGTCATGGGTCAGACAAGTACCCCCCCCCCCCCTGTGGTTGTGGTCCTGTGGTTGGGTTGTGGTGGTTTAGGGTTGGTTTAGAATTGGTTTAGGGTATATTTAGGGTGTATTTGGGGTTAGTTTAGGGTTGGTTTAGGGTTGGTTTATGTTGATTTAGGGTTGGTTTAGGTTTACGGTTTAGGGTTTGGCTTAGGGTTTGGTTTAGGGTGTATTTAGGGTTGGTTTAGGGTTAGTTTAGGGTTGGTTTAGGGTTGGCTTAGGTTTAGGGTTTATTGTTTAGGGATTGGTTCAGGGTGCATTTGGGGTTAGTATAGGGTTGGTTTAGGGTTAGTTTACGGTTGGTTTATGTTGATTTAGGGTCGGTTTAGGTTTAGAGGTCTACGGTTTAGGGTTTGGTTTAGGGGGTATTTAGGGTTCGTTTAGGGTTAGTTTAGGGTTGGTTTATGGTTGGTTGCGGGTAGCAACACGGAACACGGGACCATATATACGGTATACGTGTAACAATGTACTATACATATTATCACCAGCAGGGGGGTTTTGCTTTGGATCCCTCGCTGGACCCTCCAGAAAGGAGTATTTTTCAAACATAGGAACATGTCACGCCTTTAAGGGGTTCAGGGTTCATCCCTAATTCGGCTGGCCCCGTGGTTGTTGCTGGGCGCAAGCCCAACGGAGCCTGGCAGGCACGTGCCGCCGTTTTCGTCGGACCTGCGAGCACAGGACCATGCCGCATCCTTATGGGGGGGGGGGGGGTTGGCAAACCCAATGTAGCCACAATCAAGACCTGGGCAAGTGAAGGTTAGGGAGGGTCCCAACTCTGGGTGCTATTTACCCAGGTTTGATTGTCTTTTCAGATCCAAAGGGAAATTGGAAGGCATGCATTGCCGGCATTTCGCAGATGTACGCTGCCTTTGCTTTGGAGGTGTATGCTGGAAGATTGAAAAGGATGGCTAGCAACAAGTCATGGCCTGTGAACAATTGAGTAAAAGGCCCGTGACTCTTTGGTTGGTATCATGGATTTCACTCGGGGCCTGAGGGGTTTTCTTGGAGCGAAGTAACGGCTTGTCAGCCGTCCAGGTGCAGATGTAAAGTCTCCACTTCACCAGAGAGTGTGCCTTCAAGTGACTTCCCCTGAGAAGGATGTCCCAAACGAACATCGCTTCGGAATCAGAGGGGGTTGCTTGTGGCTTATGGTTAAACAAGAGCTCGTATCATCTGCCTCTTTTGGAACTATGCCAACCACCACTTTCCACTTTTCCGACGGTACTACGTCTACTACCAGCCTGGTCCCAAATGTTGGATGAGTTGGTGCTGGTTCAAGCTTTCTTGCTTTTTGATTTGCAAATGGGTGTGCCTTTGTTTGATATGTACCCTAATTTTTCGGGGCGGTTTGAAGGGAAACCAACAGCAATGCCACTGTTTGGAGGCACCCCTTTGCTCAGGTGTCCAAAGCCGTCCGTTTTTGGTGGCGTAAAAAAGATCAACCGGTCAAGCTTTTACTTCTGGGTCCTTTGGGCACAAAATATCACAAAATTCTAGGGGTGGATTCCCGATTCTTTTCAACCATCGTTCTTTTTAAAAACCGGTCGTTTTCACTGGGTTTCTTGAGGTTGTCTAGAAAGAAGGATCCCTCGAAAGGATATGGAAGGTACCCCAAAATGTCTGGCTCCCTTGACCTGAGTTTGATATACCCCAAATGCATCTATGTGTGTGGCCATGGCCACTGTCCTTCGCCCAGGCGCCGACGCATCCGACGCCGGAGGCGTCGAGAGGCTTGCCGGAAGGCTGGGACCCCCATGGCTTTCCATTTGCGAGACTTGAGGCGGGCGGGTCTCGAAAAAGGAATAAGCGCCCAACTTAGGCGGGTGTGGCTTGAAACAGGGAACACCCCAAACTGGATGTCGTTTTTGTTTTTTGGTGTTTCCCTTTTCGGCAAGCCTCCAAGAAGGGTACCGTCAAAAAAGACAGACGACGACCAAACCACCAGGGCAACGAGAGACAGAGCAAATGCAGGGAATTTCCCCCAGACTCCACCTTGATGGACCCCCTTTTCTCGATGGACCCATTGCGGGACGCTGATTTAGCGTGCTAGTCAGGTTGCTTTAGGATTGATTAAGAGTGTGTCGGGGTCTGCGGCTTTATGCTGTGGGATGGAATTTCTGCTTGGGTTGGATTAGGGCGGGAGATTAGGGTTTGGGCTGGGGTCGTGTACTGACTCAGGGGTACGTGACGCGGCTGAGCAAAACTCCCCAAAGCGCCAAAAGCGCAACCCAACATCACGTTTCTGGTCCCAAAGGTCCAGAGCCCTCGTCCGTTTCGCACAGATGCCAGTCCATCGAACACTTGCGGCAAAGCTGCCAACCTGCATTCGATTCGCGGAAGCAGGGTTTGTTTATCCACTCGGCCCAACTTGGAATCATATTTTTCTGGGCAAGTCGTAGTTCCTCGCTGTGGATTTTTCTTGTTGGTCAAGGCTTGTCAACAGATTGCTCTCCCTTGAAAATGAATGGGGTGGAGAAGATTGAGATCATGGGCTCTCAGGCGAACTTCCAATACCATGCACTGAATGGGGCAACTCCTGTCGCATCGAGAGGCGGGCTGGAGTTACACAGCGAGGCACGGGACCCGCGGTTTATTAGACAGGTGGACCCAGGGCGAACAAGGGGCCCTTTTCCATTGAAAATCGTTTACCCCTATTTCCAAGAACCCGGGGAGTGAAAATTAGATCATGACCTTTTCCTAGAAAATGACAATATTTGAATAAGTTACCCCTATCATGACGAATCTTGTACCCCACAACCACATTCTACTCATGTGGCTCGCATTACCTTTTTTGGGCTGATGTATCCCACTCCCCTGAAAATTGACGTTTTCCCTCTGGGAAGCCTGGATACATGAACGAAGCTGGGGCGCCGCCCACGCCCTGAAGCTGGGGCGCCGCCCACGCCCTCCGCCTAAGGAAGATGGGCGTATGGTACTGTGAAAGGGAAACTGAAGAATATGCTTAGGGCTCCTTTATTTATATTCGAGACACAGACACAGATATGCGAGGGACCTTTTTGCTACTGCACTAGAAGATTACGGTTAGGGAAGGTTCTGGCTTGTGTTTCTCCGGCGAATCTGACTATTCGAGAAAAATACAAAGGCACCTTCTTGATACTGTACTTGGGGGATTGCGGTTAAGTGGGGCCCCACTTGCTATTTGGAAACGGCTTGAGGAAGGTTCTGGCCAGGTTTTTGGATATGGGTGTTTGCAGGGTAACCTAGGTAAGCTCTCCTGGGCTTGCTAAAGCGACCATATCCCAAGGTTTTCCATCCCTGAAAAGCAGGGTTGTGGGATCAAGGGGTTTATCCCCACTTCTGTGATGCAAGGGAATCCCCTTTTGAAAAAGGGGGTTAGTCTTAGGCCCTTTTTGTTGTATCGCAGACGTTGTCATTTCCCACAGCCCTGCTGAAAAGAGTTCCTCCCAAAGGTTGTTCGTTTGTTTGTTCGCCTCACACCCGCCAGAAGGGGACCCCAGAAAAAAAGCACCCAAACACACCCCCTTGGGAAAGACGAACATCGACCATCTTGGGAGGTGTGTTTGTGGAATCCTAGACTCACCCTGTACTTTAGCACAGGTTTGCTGACCAGTTCAATGCAATGGCTGGTCTATCAGCCAGTGTTCAAATCGGGCTTCGTTCATCCCTGGCGCAAGAAAAGTCTTAAGATCCGCAGTTCACGTCTCAAATGCTTGCAGCTCCGTTTGGATTTTGTGACTCAAACTCAGAACGGTTCGCATATCCCAGCCCTTTGTTAGGATTCGGGGGAGGGGGGATTTCGACTGGGGATCTTCATTTATGGTCAGACATGCCCCTTGCCCAGCCTTGACTTTGGGCATCCACTTTCTAGACTCCAGATCACTGTCAAAACAGCAGGTTAAAGCACGTCAGTTTGGTTTGCTGGATGTAGGCATTCACTTTTCGCGGCTCACTTGACAGGGTCGAGAAGCTGTATTCATAGTTTGTGTTGTGGCACCTCAGGCAGCCCAAGGCGAATCTACCTTTGTGGGGCCCAACCCGCTTTTGACACCTTCACCGAGGAGCCAAACAAAGTGCCGGCGGCTGTGCACGTGGAGCCGGAGGCCAGGTCGATGGGCACTTTTGAATCCTCTATTCTTCCTTTCGGGACTCGAAAGGGTTTTCTTTGCAGTGGTTTTCGAACTGTGATTATGAATGAGTGGCCAACCCACCAGTTTTGAGCACCCATATTATTGAGTGGATCGGATTTATGGGCTGGTGCTTAAGCTTGGAACCCTCCCAGACAGACCTTCGCATGTTGTATAAACACGATCGGCGCTCCTATGTGACCTCGACCTTGTGCCCGATGTTCCGCTTCCAGAGCAGCCAGCGTAGTGGCCGACAATTCTTGGCGGTGTCGCACTCAACCACATGTTCCCATGCTCATGTGTCAACGTGTAGCCCTGATCCTGATTCGTATCCAGAAAACAAAAACACGGCCAGGCCAACAGGCCAGCAATAAGAAAGTACTAGGGGGGGAACTGGCCTTGAAGGGGGGGTACCGTACCCTTTACGAGTTTGTCAAGTCTTGTTGTATTTAACAGCAACTAATGCAAATTATGTTTGCTATTTCCGACTATGTTGCTTTTTCGCTTATGGTACAAGAAACCCTCCATAGTATTTGGGGAATTGGCATGAGAATAAGTACAATCCTTAGCAATAGCTTTTGCAAGTGAGCAGCACCATCAACCCTGGAACGAAAACTTGTTCTAGTACAGGTGGTGTGCGATAGAGCGCACGCGAAAACCCAAACACAGGAAAGTGCCGAAAGAAGATTGCGCCCAAAAGCCCTGCGAAAACGTACATTCCGTAGGGTGTGGTTCACTCCGCCGCCGTCGCGAAAGCAATTCTAAGGGGAACGAAGCCTGCGAAAGCACAGCATGGGGTCGCGAAAGCATCGCGAAAGGGCCCGCGTGGTACCCCAGGCTTTTGGCCCCGCTCAATCAAAGCGTACCTTCTTTGCATTTGGATTTGGGGATTTTCGGGGGGGCAGACGGCCGTTTTTACTCGGGTGCCAACGGATTATGGGAGCTGTTTTGGTCCAAACCTTGTGGGCCCCTTAAGAGTCGCAATGAATGTCACGGTCAGGCATAAGATTTCTCGCTCAGGCAAAGGAAAACACGGCCAAGGATTTGTCGGTCAGTTTTTCGCTTGTGCTTGACCCTGACCGCCCCTCACGCCGTATGCAGGATTGTCAGCTCCCATGTTTTGCACGTGTGGCCTCCAAAGAATGTGGTTTACCTGACCATTTTCGCGCAGTACAGAGCATTGTCATCGGTGCTTGATATTTCATGTGTGGACTCCAAAACATGTAGTTTACCTGAAATTGTCTGGCAGGACTGGTCAAGCATTGTCAGCACTCAACACTTCTCTTGTAGCTGACCACTCTCGCAGAGTACACAGCATTGTCAGCACACTTGGCTTGTATCCCCCTCGATGCCGTGCCTCGTCAGCCTGGCCGCTGTCGACTGTGCAAAGCAGGGTCAACAGAGGATTTGGAGCTTGATGTTGCAAGACTCCCAGCTCCAGCCTCCGGGGCCCCTGGATGCGGTTTGATCTCCCTGGTGCCAATGCAGGTCCAGGTGGCAAATGCCCTGCACAGACTTGCCAGGATCTCAGTTTGCCGGGGGCGGGTTGTCCATAGTTGCGATCACACCGCGCGGGTGGTGTCTTTCTTTAGGTACCCTGTGCGTGATTTCAGGTGCTAAGGGAAACTAACATGAAACCATTTACGGGAAGACCACCATTTGAATGTTGACTGGACTCACATGGAACGCGGATGGTACCGAAGAGAGGTACATGATCTTTGCAGGGGCGAGGTACCCCAAGCTTCCGTGCTAGCAGGTAGGTGTCGTGCAAGTTACCCTCCCAAGCGAAAGCGCACAGATCCCCTTTGGCAGACTTGTCACGAAAGGTAGCCGATGTAGATTGTTTTGATAATTAGTAGCTCTTTCTGCGATTGAAGTCACATCGTTTAATCATTGGTAGCCTCTTTCTGCGATTGAACTTATGTCGAAATCGTTCATGACGGGTGACCCTTAATTTTGCGAGGTGGATTTTGCTTAATACAAAATGGTAGCCGCTTTCCACGACTGAACTCTCGTCGAAATCGTTCATGACTCGAGTGCAAGTGTTGCAGAGAAAGTGCGGATTCTGATTTGGCAGCCTCCGCAAAAATGATGCACCCCGCGCATATGGGTGCAGGCCCGTGGCTCTGGGCCTCCGTTTGGATGAAGCTACCTTTCATGTCCCCTTCCGCTCAAGTTTCGCTCTTGGAAAGGGTGCTTGTGACCTTCCATGTAGGTGGAAGGGTATGTGGTTGCTACACTTGGTTGTAGGAGTGGTCAGCCAGTAAGCTTACCCACCTTTGCCGGATCAACGTTTGGTACTGGGTCCTTGTTGTTACACGCCCCGCAAGACATGATCTCGTGCCGCAAGCGGTGTGCCAATGGGGAAAGCCATGTAGAGTTATGATCATGCTGTCATTTACAGATGTATGGCATGAAGCCACTTTGAAACAAATCACATGGGCACACTCGGTTCACTTAGATGTTGCTGACGACGCACGTGCTACCCCAGCCCCCCCACCGCGCACAAAGCCAAGAGTCTGGTGTGCCATGGGGGGTCGGAAGGGGCGCTGTTGAATGTTGAGGCCCACTCCCGTCACAAAACACAATGGCACACTGCCCCTGGCCAAGATGCTGAGAAGGTTAAGCCAGCTACCGCATGGGAGTTTGGTTTCTTGCGTCGTTCAGTTATGTGCCAGTAGGATTTGACTTGGTAGAAGTTACAGGCTCTGAAGTTGCTCGTCGGAAAGCGCAAGTGCGCACTTCCTCTACTCACGCTGGGAGTTGGGTTCTTTGTGCGTGCTTTTCCCTCACACACACACACACACGCAGATGCGCGCGCTCCAAGGCACGCCACTGAAGGATTGTGCCCGAAACAGGTCGTGCTGGCCAGGGCCAGTCTGTGGACCTCGTTTTGGTTTGACCTCGTTAATACATCGTTTAGACCTTGTTAAATTGGCTGGCTACAGCACCTTTTTCGCAAGGTATCGTGGCAGGCGCAGCACTTTCGCAAGGTCAGGCGCGGATTTCGTGATAGGCGCAGCGCTTCCAGAAGGCCAGGCGCAGGTCTTGTGGCAGGCGCAGAGCTTTCAGAAGCAGATTTCGTGACAGGGGCGCAACAGAGAAAGAGAAAGGGGAAAGGAAGGAGACAGCGCAAGTGAAAAAAGAAAGAGTAAGGGAAGGAGAAAAAACGGCCAAGAGAAAGGAAGAAGAAAGAAGAAAGAAGCACGGGGGAAGCACTGGTTGAGCGCAGCGGCTGTCAGCTGTTTATTGGAAGGTCGTTGCGTGTAACGCATACGGGTGGCTATGGACAAAGAACTTAGCAACGCTACAGATGTTGGTGAATTTTGGTGCGCCAAGCGTTTGTGGACATGCTTCCCATCCCTGGGGCCGCTGAAGGTACACCTGCGTGATGTTGGTTGAAGCGCATGTGAAACGCGGTGTGCCATGGGAAGTGCTTGGTGAGCGCATCGGTTGTCAGCTGTGTGTTGGAAGGTTGTTGCTTTTTACGCATAGGGGTGGCTATGAACAAAGAACTTAGCAACATTGCAGCGCATGTTGGTGAAGCTAGCTCAGACAGGTAGAAGCTAATGTGAAATCACATAGGCGCGAACCAGCCGGGTGACGTTGGTTGAAGCGCATGTGAAACGCGGTGTGCCACGGGGGAAGTGCTTGTTGAGCGCATTGGTTGTCAGCTGCTTGTTGGAAGGTTGTTGCTTATAACGCGCAGGGTTGGCTATGAACAAAGAATTCAGCAACATTGCAGCGCATGTTGGTGAAGTGTGGTGAGCCACGCGTTTGTGGACACGATCCGAGCAGTTTTTACGCGCGCAGCCTGGCTCAGACAAGCAGGCTAATGTGAAAACACGTAGGCACGAACGCGCCGGACAAGGCAGTTGCAACATAAACACGCATTTTCATGTGGTTTGCCAGTAGGATTTGATAGTGGGGTGAGATCCGGTTGTTGTGGGGTGAGCGATGTGCCAAGCGGTGGGGTGAGATGTGGTTCCGTGGGGATAAACACGCATTTTCATGTGGTTTGCCAGTAGGATTTGATTGTGGGGTGAGATTCGGTTGTTGTGGGGTGAGCGATGTGCCAAGCGGTGGGGTGAGATGTGGTTCCGTGGGGTGTGAAACCGCGCTGGGTCGTACCATCTTATTATATCAATGCCCTTCACCAACATGATGATGCAAGCATAGATTTGAATCCTAGGCTGGAATTTGAACATTGGCCAAGTTTGGAGAACCCGCCAAACAACATCCTGTGAGGGCCCAGATCATTAGCATGGGGTAGTGGGGCACTTCAAAGCAAGCAAAGATCTCATGATGATCATAGGAGCCTGGACATCAATCCTGTTACGGCCCAGATCATTAGAATGGGGTAGTGGGGTACTTCAAAGCAAGCAAAGATCTCATGATGATCATAAAAGCCTGGACATCAATCCTGTTAAGGCCCAGATCATTAGAATGGGGTAGCGGGGTACTTCAAAGCAAGCAGAGATCTCATGATGATCATAGGAGCCTGGACATCAATCCTGTAAAGGCCTGGATCATTAGAACGGGGTAGTGGGGTACTTCAAACAAGCAAAGATCTCTTGATGATCATAGGAGCCTGGACATCAATCCTGTTTAGGCCCAGATCATTAGAATGGGGTAGTGGGGTACTTCAAAGCAAGCAAAGATCTCATGATGATCATAAAAGCCTGGACATCAATCCTGTTAAGGCCCAGATCATTAAAATGGAATAGTGGGGTACTTCAAAGCAAGCAAAGATCTCATGATGATCATAAAAGCCTGGACATCAATCCTGTTTAGGCCCAGATCATTAGAACGGGGTAGTGGGGTACTTCAAAGCAAGCAAAGATCAAATGATGATCATAAAAGCCTGGACAGCAATCCTGTTAAGGCCCAGGTCATTAGAATGGAATAGTGGGGTACTTCAAAGCAAGCAAAGATCTCATGATGATCATAAAAGCCTGGACATCAATCCTGTTTAGGCCCAGATCATTAGAATGGGGTAGTGGGGCACTTCAAAGCCAGCAAAGATCTCATGATGATCATAGGAGCCTGGACATCAATCCTGTTACGGCCCAGAACATTAGAATGGGGTAGTGGGGTACTTCAAAGCAAGCAAAGATCTCATGATGATCATAAAAGCCTGGACATCAATCCTGTTAAGGCCCAGATCATTAGAATGGGGTAGTGGGGTACTTCAAAGCAAGCAGAGATCTCTTGATGATCATACAAGCCTGGACATCAATCCTGTTCAGGCCCAGGTCATTAGAATGGGGTAGTGGGGTACTTCAAGCAAGCAGAGATCTCATGATGATCATAAAAGCCTGGACATCATTCCTGTTACGGCCCAAATCATTAGAATGGAATAGTGGGGTACTTCAAAGCAAGCAGAGATCTCATGATGATCATAAAAGCCTGGACATCAATCCTGTTTAGGCCCAGATCATTAGAATGGGGTAGTGGGGTACTTCAAAGCAAGCAGAGATCTCATGATGATCATAAAAGCCTGGACATCAAACCTGTTTAGGCCCAGATCATTAGAATGGAATAGTGGGGTACTTCAAAGCAAGCAGAGATCTCATGATGATCATAAAAGCCTGGACATCAATCCTGTTTAGGCCCAGATCATTAGAATGGGGTAGTGGGGTACTTTAAACAAGCAAAGATCAAATGATGATCATAAAAGCCTGGACATCATTCCTGCAACGGCCCAGATCATTAGAACGGAATAGTGGGGTACTTTAAAGCAAGCAAAGATCTCATGATGATCATAAAAGCCTGGACATCAATCCTGTTACGGCCCAGGTCATTAGAATGGGGTAGTGGGGTACTTCAAAGCAAGCAAAGATCTCATGATGATCATAAAAGCCTGGACATCAATCCTGTTAAGGCCCAGATCATTGGAATGGAATAGTGGGGTACTTCAAAGCAAGCAGAGATCTCATGATGATCATAAAAGCCTGGACATCAATCCTGTTTAGGCCCAGATCATTAGAATGGGGTAGTGGGGTACTTCAAAGCAAGCAGAGATCTCATGATGATCATAAAAGCCTGGACATCAAACCTGTTACGGCCCAGATCATTAGAATGGAATAGGGGGGTACTTCAAAGCAATTCATGATGATCATAAAAGCCTGGACATCAATCCTGTTACGGCCCAGATCATTAGAATGGGGTAGCGGGGTACTTCAAACAAGCAAAGATCAACTGATGATCATAGGAGCTTGCTGCAGCTTCTAGGGCCGCCACTGAATAAGTGGGTCGAGCATTGATAACTTGCCGCTCCAGCCCTCAAAGAAGGCCCATGCAATTTGGCTGTGGGTCAGTACTAAATGGTTCCATTTTGGGGTAGGTGCACCACCCATTTTAGTCTATTTTGGTGGGATTGGGATGTTCACTGGGGTACGGGGTTTTGACCCATGGCCATTTATTGAGTTCTTTTTGCTTGAATGCTCCGAGGCATACGGCAAAGAGGAAGCGATCCCGGCCCAAGATTTTGCCAAACGCTCAGGTAGTCCAAGTGATCGACGCTTGGCCCTCAAACCTCTAAAGAAAGGCATGGAGTTTCATAGATTTGGAGACTCGAGACACTTCCGGAGCGCCTGGACTTCAAGCGTTTTGGGAAGAGGATTGTAGTGATAACAACAAGTTGCGGTTTGTTGGTTGGAGCCAAACGGGAGACCAACCTAGGGACTTTCGCAAAGCTTCAGGATCACGATCCAATTGGGTGCTTGCCTGAAGAGATGCATTCACGCGCAGTGTGCAAGGAAAGCCACGGAGCCGAAATCCGCACAGATTCCAAAGACAAATGCACATGTAAGTAGACAGCCCCAATTCAGGGAGGTGGCACACAAGCCATCAAGCAATGTGAGCGCACAGAGATCAAGTTAGCTCGGTGAGCAGAAAAGGCCGGGGGTTGTATGTGCATAGGAGTTCAGAATTGTCTCAAGAACAAGTCACGAGGTCAGTGCAGATTAGCAGAGCCCATGCCATCCACTTTGTGGAGGATCTCCTTTCAGGGACCCCTCGTTTGGGTTTCCATGTTGATTTGGGGAGTAGCGAAGCAGCTGTTCTGTCGCAAAGCCTGCAGGCCATGAACAACATTTGGGCTCCGTGCCTGGGCGGCAGTTTGAGATTCCGAAGGTTTGGGGCAGCATTTGGGTAAAAAGGCTAGGTCCCCCAGTAGTGCCCTTGTGCCCGTTTTGGGGGGGGTTCCCCTACTAAAATTGACTACAGAACAAAGGTACCCTTATTCTAACCTCTCTACTGGAGGACCTAGAAGGGGCATAGCGAGCTCACCATGATAAAGGTGCTTGACTTGGGGATACCACAATTCAGCTTTTGCAGTTGTCATGATAAGATTTGCAGACTATATATGCTTTAGAGCCTCCGGCTCGTCCGCCGACATTGTCCTCTCCCTTTTCTCCTTCTTCCTCTCTTCCTTGTCTCCCTTGTGTGTTCTGTCGTCCTCTCTCCCTCCCTCTGCTCCCATCCTCCCCATCCCCCCAAGCCTCTCTCTCCCCAATCTCCCTCTCTCGTATGTATGCATGCATGTACATAAGTATGTATGTATGCATATGTATGTATGTATGTATGTATGTATGTATGTATGTATGTATGTATGTATGTATGTATGTATGTATGTATGTAATGTATGTATGTATGTATGTATGTATGTATGTATGTATGTATGTATGTATGTATGTATGTATGTATGTATGTATGTATGTATGTATGTATGTATGTATGTATGTATGTATGTATGTAATGTATGTATGTATGTATGTATGTAAAGTAAGTAAGTAAGTAAGTAAGTATGTATGTATGTAATGTAATGTAATGTAAGTGTATGTAATGTAATGTAAATGTTAATGTATGTATGTATGTATGTATGTATGTATGTATGTATGTATGTATGTATGTATGTAATGTAATGTAATGTATGTATGTATGTATGTATGTATGTATGTATGTATGTATGTATGTATGTATGTATGTATGTATGTATGTATGTATGTATGTATGTATGTATGTATGTATGTATGTATGTATGTATGTATGTATGTATGTATGTATGTATGTATGTATGTATGTATGTATGTATGTATGTATGTATGTATGTATGTATGTATGTATGTATGTATGTATGTATGTATGTATGTATGTATGTATGTATGTATGTATGTATGTATGTATGTATGTATGTATGTATGTATGTATGTATGTAATGTATGTATGTATGTATGTATGTATGTATGTATGTATGTATGTATGTATGTATGTATGTATGTATGTATGTATGTATGTATGTATGTATGTATGTATGTATGTATGTATGTATGTATGTATGTATGTATGTATGTATGTATGTATGTATGTATGTATGTATGTATGTATGTATGTATGTATGTATGTATGTATGTAATGTATGTATATGTATGTATGTATGTATGTATGTATGTATGTATGTATGTATGTATGTATGTATGTATGTATGTATGTATGTATGTATGTATGTATGTATGTAATGTATGTATGTATGTATGTATGTATGTGTACGTATGTATGTATGTGTGTATGTAATGTCACGTAATGTAATGTAATGTAATGTAACGTAATGTAATGTAATGTAATGTAATGCAATGTAATGTAATGTAATGTATGTATGTATGTATGTACGTACGTACGTATGTATGTATGTAGGTAGGTAGGTAGGTATGTAATGCATGTATGCATGTATGTATGTATGCATGCATGTATGTATGTATGTATGTATGTATGTTTGTATGTAATGTATGTATGAGATGTATGTATGTATGTATGCATGCATGCATTCATGCATGTATGTAGTTTATTTCCCGCAAAAAACACGGTTTTTCCAGCGCTTTCTGCAATTAGGACGTCCAAAAACACAGAGTTTTTCCAGATTTTCGGCAAAAGGAGCAGGAACCCCAAGCCAGCAAAAAAGCCGGCAGGGGAATCGAGCCTGGGACCCCTGTTTTGCGACACCGGCTCCCCGAAGACTACGTTTAGTGGAACGTCATCAAATTGCCGCGCGGTACGTGGGCCCCCCCCCCCCCCCAAAAAAAAACCTACGTAATAGACGTCGGGCGGGGGGGGGTTAGGGGGGGGGGTTATCCTCTATCCTCTAGTAAGTATCCGACACGCCGAGCAATGTCGGCGGATATACACTGGGGTTGTGGGGTACTTTAAGACCAATGTCGGTCATGTGATAGGGCGATGATGTGTGTATTTGCGTTTAGCCCGATATGAGCTTTAAAGAAACTTTGGTGGGCAAAATTTGTGTCCGCCACTCAGTTCTGAGGGGAGTCTTACCGGCAACTCGCTGGGAACTATGGGTTTTGCAACCACAACCTGAACTCAGAGCTGCAGGCATCGTTTCCCGGGCAGGGGGGCTGTTCAAATGTCAGGGGGGCGTGCGCCAACTTTTCCATGCCCTCTTGGGGAGCAAGTAAGTTTGTCTAGACCAGTATTTGAATGTGTGCAGCGCTCAGATAGCTTTGACACGAGGATTCCTTTCACCTTGGGAGCGGCTAAAGCTACGTATCGAGCAGTTGGTAGGAGTTTGCACAAGGTCCTGGCTCCCAGTTGTTACGTCTTTTCAAGGAAGCCACAACAGGATGCATAGAGGTTTGGCTTTTCCAGACTTCCTTGACAGGCTTGTTGTGTCGTTTGCCAAAGTCGATGGGGGGGAGGCGTTCCCGGTCGGTTGGTATGTCTCAAATCGAATGTTGACGCATGAGAGATCAAGCTGGGGCGAGGCGCGAGGTTTCAGGTTTCGAGGTTTCGGTGGGTGCCATTGCGACAGGGAAAAGGGAAAACTGGACTGCGAATGGCAGCCTTTGAAGCTTCAGACAAGTGGCATGCGTTTCAAAGGGAAGCCCTGAAAGCCCCCCGTTTGGATGGTCAGGAAACCCAACCAACCGCTTCAAACCCTCGGTTTGAGAGACGTTGCGCCCGGTTGCACCATGACGCAGGGGAAGCCCAGCAGCCGACGCGCTGCACTTGGAAGATGTGCCCGACAGGATGGGAAGTTGCACCAAGCCCAGTGCTTCCAGTTCCCATTTATTACCTTCAGGTTTGACTTTCCCCTGGCTAGACGGGGAACTGGATGTACTGGGAATGGGCAGAGTTGGTTTGCCTTGTTTTGCTTCGATGAAATGATCCCCGAGTTGCACTTCTTTTAGGGATAAACGCGACCCTGATCAAGGATCACAGCCTGTCTTCAACCAGACATCGAGATGTCAACCACTGTGGGGCGGGCTGTGAATTTGTGCCACACACATGTTCGCGTTCGCCTCCCACGATTTCTCAGGGCGCATGGTGGGACGTGGAATGCGCAGAGTTCCCTCGAAAAAGTAGGTCCAGAACCCGGCCTCACCTCGCTGATTTCTTGCGCACCAGGACCAGAGATGGCTTTCCAGACAACAGTGAGGATGGGCAGGCCATTGTCGTGTGTGTTGTCCAGACCTACAGTGGTGCCAATCTTCCTTTGATGGATGGATTTTGATCACGGATGCCTGACTGAAAGCACATCGGACATCCACAAAAGCAGTTGTCTGAACCACCGGACAGAGTTGGATGCCTGGTACCAAGACAAGTCCAGGTAGCTACGTTTGGTACAAAGACTTTCGACTCCACAAAGCGCCAGGAGCGACCGAGCGACAGGACGGGGAGGGGCCCCCGATGCCAACCAGGTCTCCAATAAGTTCAAAGCACTATCCTAAAGGGAAGGGAGGGCTATACAACCTGAAGGTTAAGAAAGGGTCACGTAGCCTGTTTTCCCGTGAGTGAATTTGGGGCTAGGCATCCTCTCAGAGCAAGTTCCGCTTGGCAGACCGCATTGCGACAGATCGTTGCGCGGCCCAACTTTGAGGCCTATTCATGTTGGTTTATTGGGGCCGCAGTCACCGCAGTCCGAACTAGCGGCTTTTGCCATACAGCCCGGGATGGGCTACGCGTCTCCGTCTCTCTCTTTCTCTCTCTCTCTCTTTCCATCTCTCGTTTTTCTGCTTTGAGGATGAAAGGAGTTGGAGCCAATGTTGCGGACCCTTTTCACGTGACGGGTTCGGTCGAGTCGAGCTGATTTTGTCAACGCCACTAGGAGCAAAGTGCTGGAAGGTGCACAAGGCGAGGATATTCCCCGCCGCATGGAATCGGCGGGAGGGAGGTGCCCCCTGAAGATCTCCTTTGTAGTTACATGTTCTGGCTGTGGGTCAAAACTAATGGTACCATTTTGGGGTAGGTGCGCCACCCATTGTAGTCTATTTTAGTGGGGATTGAGATGTTCACTGGGGGTACGGGATTTTGACCCATGGCCATGTTCTGTTTTGTGGGTGACTGGAAGAGTGCAATTGCCCCACCGCCCTTCCCCCTTAGGGTAGGAATGAAACTATCAGCAACGGAGAGCAGAGAGCCCAAGGTTGCAGGAAATGGGGCCTTAGACCCACTGCGCAAGACCATACCTGCCGCCCTGCTTGCGCAGGTCACGCCAGCACCAGCGACACGTTGCCAGCTGAGCAGGCAGCTGTGGCCAGTCAGCTTGCAACATCCGGGACTAAGATCTCATGGGATCTCCTTTCAGCAGATCTTGTGCTGGTTTGCTTTTGTGCCTGGCCTCTGCGCTTGTCAGCGTTTGGCCTGGGTCCAGAGTTTGGGCAGTCGAATCCACATCTAAGCCTGCCTATGGAAGCTCTTCACCACCACGAAAGGGCCTTTTCCAGGGTCACCGCTTTGAGCAGCCGTCAATTGAGCACGTTCTGACCGCTGAGCTTGGTATTTGTCCAAAATGGACATGCTCCAAGGATCCGTCCCAAGCCGAGATCGCCTGGTCATTTTCCGCGTCTGCCAGGCAACTCCGGTGGTGCCTTCGTCGGCTTTCGGGCCTTCCAAGGTACGCGTGGGAGGGGAGAAAGGGTCCTCCCTGGTCGTCCTTGAACGGCCTTTTTGGAACAAATTGTGATTGGACCGGGAAAGTGCAACTTAAAGTGGGAAGGCCCCTGTCCATGGCTTTACCCTTCAAACTGATGGATCGGTCCTGGAGGTATTCGACTCTCTTCTCCCACGGTGCAAACAGACCTCCCGGTTTGGGAGGTGAGAAATCTGTCCATTGTTTCCCAAATTTCTATCCTTGTGGCATCTTGTGACAGGCTTGAATAGGAGCACTCCTGTTCCTTCGGAAGGCTCAAGGGCAATCGGAGAGCACTTGCCCGATTTGTTGAGAACATGATTCTGTTCCCCCCACCCTTGCAGCAAGACCAGTAAAGTGGCTCACTTTTTGCAGGGTCAGCGCGACCAGCCCCCGTGTTTTTTGTTTGGCTTCTACAAGGTCCCTCTCCCTTGCTGGATCTTTCTTTAGAGCTGAGTTGTTTCCGTTCTGTTTCTCCCATTAGACACATGGGACCCCAGATGGTTTGTTTCCTTTAGGTTTTAGACCAAAGGGTTCCTCTCAAAGACGCGATACCGCGGCAGGCGCCGAAGCTTGAGGCACCCGGCTCTTTGGAGGCCGGAGCAGAAGCGCGACACCAGGCCGGGGAGCGGGGGGCTTTGGGATTCGAATCAACATCTCGAGGCAACGCCTCCAAAAGGGTGTGGTGGTCAATAGGGCAACGCCAAAATGGGTTCCCCTGGCAAATGGAAACAAGATGCAACACAGACTACCACGTCATTGGGGCCATTGGGGAAGCTCGGGCGAGGGATCCACGGGTTTCGTGTTTTTGTTGGGGGGGCTCTCGGCCCATTGTAAGTGACATGCCGGGATGCCCCCCCCTCTTCGGTTTACGAATCGCTCTTTAAGGTACCTGGAATGTCCTGAATATAGTGTGCTAGTGAGAAAACATGATGCAAGCAATATAATTCATCAGGCACTATATATATATAGTCCAATCACGCTCCAATCACGCTTGGGTTTTATATAGGCGTTCAGTTTGGTTGAACGTAGATGGAACCATTCGCGTTCACTGGGGTTCCATCCACCCGGATGCCCTTAGCTGCAAGGAGTCTCGAATAATTGATCAACCCACAATTTTGGCAGGTGTTGGATGGCGCTTGAACAGACAACGACAAGGAAAGCATTGCCATTGGAAGTGTTTTGCTTTGGCCACATTGGGAGCTCGCCCGAAATGATTGAAGCGGGAACACGGTCATGCCTTACCGGCTGGGCCCAAACGGCTGCTCAAAAGACGTGTGTCGCATGCAAAAACAACAACAAACAAACCAACAAAACGCAAACATGCGAGATAGAACCCATCTACAGTCCCGAAATCTTGGCAAGGCTTGCAAAGGGGACAGTGCTCGCTTATTGTCTAAGACTTGGGAAGGCAATACCAGGGGTTGCTCCTAACCGGAAGCCAGAAGTAGATGGATGGTTATTCAATCTTTCTAGACTCCTCATTTAACCCGAGGCATCCCTTGGAATAAACATGGAGGCTGCCACGATGGGCCCACGGCGCAGCGTCACCACATCCATATGCTGGGCATGTTGACATGTCCTCTTTTGAGCAGCTGTGTTTTGTTGCCTTGCACCACGGTTCTTGCCCGTTTATCTTACAGTGCAGCTCCAGTCCGAAGCGCGGTATGACTTGCACTCCCGACTAACATGGATGCTCCAAGAAGGCCTCCGTAAATGGAACCAAGTCTTCCTGGGAGCTTCCAGGTTAGTCTTGGGGAGGGCAGTCTGCATTTCCAGTATGAAGAGTTGCGTAGTCCCGACCCGGCCAAACCATGCCAGCGGTTTGACACGGCATCCGTTGCAATTTGAGATGTTGTAAGGTCCCTCGATGTGCCTCGGTAAGGAGCCTCCTCCACGATAGTTGCATTGGTCATTTGAAAAGCCGGCATTTGGTATTCCTTAGCCGCAGCGTGTGATTCCCCTTTCACAGCAACAGCTCATTCTTTTGACCCATGAAGGCACATAGGGTGCTCCTTTTTTGAGGGTATGTTTTTTTGGCAGCAGAGAAAAACCAATCAGTCGGGCGGTCCGCCGATTTCACACATCGCACTTGAACCGCACTCGAGCGGCCCAGGGGCTGGAGATGGACGACTCGAGCCTCCATCGCAATGAGATGGGTTGGCGTTTTTTGTTTCCCCCCTTTTTTTTCTCCTTTTTTTCTTCTTTTTTTTTCTGACTGGGGTTGTGTTGTTGGGTTGGGTGGCCCCGAAAAAAGCGTGTTGTGGTTGTTTTTAAGGGACGCCTAAGAGGAAACCAACGCATAGGGGTTATCCTATTTTGAGAAGCTCCCACTTTACTGGGTGCAAGACCCTGATGCCAGATGGAAATGCTTTCAAGTTGCTCTTAGGAAGTGATGCCGCACTGCGGATCGTGGCTTAAGAGTAGGGATCCCAACGCCTCTTGGACAAATCTGAGTTCCCAAGTCTCGGTGCGATGTTTTGCTACAGGGGGATTGATCGTATCAGGTAGCCCTTGACTGATCGTTTGGATTGGCGGTTTGGGGATTTGAGCCTCAAATGGGAAACCCATCCTCAACCACGAATTAGATCCAATTGGAGGGAAGCTGGAATGTGATCTACGGTATATGTGTTTCTGTTTCTTATCCAATAGCTTTGTACGACATCCGGAAGTGGCGGTGGATTTCTGTTGCACAACTACCAGGGCCCTTGGACCGATTGAAAGGAAGGGAAGTCACTGACTTGAAAGGGTCCATGGTGTTGAGGTACACACACACACACGCCGCGTAGAGGTAATCAACCTTGGCTTATGAGGATTCCAAGTAGCCAGGGATTGGTCACCTGCGTTCGTCTAGGGCCTAGGGGCACCTGTGTGAAAGGCGCTCCCCATGCCATGTTTGCATTGACCTGAGGAATCGGCCTACGTCCACTGGGCAACCTGATTCGACTGGTCGACCTGCTTCAATTGGTCGGCCCGAGTCAGCTGGTGAGCCTGCTTCAGCTGGTCGGCTTGATTCAGCAGGTCGACCTTCAACCGGTCAACCGGGTTTAATTGGTCAGCCAGATTCGACTGGTCAGCCTGCTTCAGGTCGACCTTCAACTGGTCAACCAGATTCACTTGGTCGGCCTGAATCGACTGGTCAGCCTGCCTCAGCCGGTCGGCTTGATTCAGCAGGTCGACCTTCGACTGGTCAGCCAGATTCAATTGGTGTGAATGACGCGACTGGTCAGCCTTTTTCAACTGGACAGCTCGATTCGACTGGTCGACCTTCAACTGGACAACCTGTTTCGACTGCTCAACCTGCTTCAACTGGTCAGCCTGCTTCAGCTGGTCAGCTTGATTCAGCAGGTCGACCTTCAACTGGTCAACCAGATTCACTTGGTCGGCCTGAATCGACTGGTCAGCCTGCCTCAGCCGGTCGGCTTGATTCAGCAGGTCGACCTTCGACTGGTCAGCCGGATTCAATTGGTGTGAATGATGCGACTGGTCAGCCTTTTTCAACTGGGCAGCTCGATTCGACTGGTCGACCTTCAATTGGACAACCTGCTTCGACTGGTGAACCTGCTTCAACTGGTCAGCCTTCTTCAGCTGGTCGGCTTGATTCAGCAGGTCGACCTTCAACTGGTCACCCAGATTCAATTGGTTTGCCAGATTCGATTGGTCAGCCTGCTTCAACTGGGCAGCTTGATTCGGCAGGTCAACCTTCAACTGGTCAACCAGATTCACTTGGTCGGCCTGAAGCTGGTCGACCTGCTTCCTTTGGTCAACCTGCTTCAACCGAGCAACTGCCTGCTTGGGGCAGCACTTCCAGGCAGGCGTGAGCAATAGAGTGTTGGCTTGTTGCCCCACGCGCAACTTAGGCACCCACAGCATATTTCTGATTTTCAAGATACTGGTAGCACCCAGTGCATCCAGTTGCCAATTTGTGTAGGGGACTCTGCTGGATTGTACCTCTGGTTCTTCTAGGGGTAGCTTGATCCGCGGCTACGGCAACCCTACAAGACACTTCCTGCAGGCACTCGACGCCGGCCTCGCGTGACGTGCCTGCAGACGCTTGGCTGAAGAAGCTCGCTTGATCGGATCCATCCTGTTGGGTTTCGGAAAATGAAGAGGCATCTTGTCTAGGTCTTCTAGTAGTGCCCTTTTGCCGTTTTTTAGGGAAGGTTCCGCTACTAAAGTAGACAAGGGCACCCTTATTCTAACCTCTCTACTGGAGGACCTTGTCCACTTCCATGATTGGGAATAAATCTCAGGAGAAGAGGCTCCACGAAGAGAGCTTTGCTGACTAAGCGTGGAGCAAGAAGTAGAGTGCAAGATACACAGATACACATGTCTATCATACGGGAAAGCGCCGATCATGTCTATACCTGGATCTCCCAAAACACGGGATTTGTTTGGTGCAAATTCCGGAGACTAAAGGGTCTCAGAGGGGAAATATCCCGGAGGAAAAAAAACAGCAATATTGGTGTGCATCGCCATCCCCTAAGCAAGGGTCAACATCCATGTATCGTGTTGCTTTCCTTGGTCAATGTGCAATCAGGGGGCCCGGCCCCTCATGATTTCCGGCCCCAGGGTTTGGCTGCCTGAAACCACAGGCCCAGCGCATCTTAGATGACGGCCGGCTGCATTTGGACGCAGGCCAGGAGATGTGCTGGGCTTGTGCTTGGGCTTGTCGCAAAATGGGGGGAACCTCAAGAAACGCGGTTTTCCTTCGGTTTCAAAACCGCGCATGATGGTGCAGCCCTCAAAAGAGACAAAACCATTGACTCTGACTGAGCGGGGTGGAGGGGGTGGAGCGAGCTATTCCGGGCCCCAAGATGCGAATTCTAAACTTACAGACAGTAGTTAGTGCAGATGAGTGTCCTTGAGACGGAACCCATGTTTGGAAGGGAAGCTGGCAGTTGCAGTGCAAGGCTTCTAGTCCATGTGATCGCCTCAACAACTTGAGGTGGCGATATGGCAAAGAGCACCGAGATTTGCTTTCCTTTGAGCCACCCAGGCTCACCCGAGCTCAGTTCTAAGACAGCAGGCCCAGGGAAATCTGCAATTGGCCAGGCAAAACTCGTCATGGGCAAAAGCTTCCAACAGATTTCTCAGTGGCACTTCCCCTGGACCAAGGGGTCTATGGGGAGGGGGTGTTGGCTATCCCTTCTTTTCACCCTTCAAATACGGCCTTATTGAGGGCTTCGTGGCTTGTCCTTTTGGCTATCTAGGGATAGCCCCCCCCCCCGAGGCCCCCCATACAAGTCCAATGACAAAGCGCACGGAGCTGAGTTTCAGGTGAGGAGCTTCCCAAGGCGGGGGCTTCGATCGGCTCGATCCGAGAGGTTGGACCGGATTCAACTCTCAAAGTACCCGGGAGCGGTGGTGTTATTATTGTGTGTTTTGTGTTTTTCTTAACAACGACAAAATGGGTTGAAACTTTGACCCATGGAAGTGGTATACTAGCAAAAGGTAACTGGTATACAGCATATGGGGGAAAATCAGACCATTTTGGCACAACAATTCGGCATAATCATGCCATGTACGTGTTTACCATAAACCAAGAATTGGCCATAAAACCATGCGCATTTCAGTGCCCAGTGTTTCTCAGATGCTTCACATGTGTTTCTAGCAAACACATGAGAAGCATGTGAGGAGCACAGAGCCATTATCCGCAGACTCATGCACATCCAGTATCATTGCTACACACATGAGGGTTGGTAAGCTTCCACACATGTGCGTTGATTAAGTGCTTGATATGGCTACAATACAGTGAGCATTGGGTGGGTAGGCACTATGGTTGTGACACACATGTGGTGCGTTGTTTGCCCTCATTGGTTACATGTGTGCTTCTGTGTGTGCATGTTCATATTACTGAGAAGATTGACATGTGCTTCTGACATGAAACTCCTGTGCTGAAGAGCTGAGCACAGGAGTGGCATGTCCAAAGCACATGTTACATGCCAACATGGAACATGCCCTGGCGCAAGCAGCAGCTGCAGCGGCTTGCCCTGCAGCATGAGGAGGTCTGCCTGGCGCATTTGCGAGTACAGCTGCATGGTTCAGAGCGCATGGCTTCTTATAATTATTAGACACCTCCAAAGGTTGTGCCAGGAAGGGCCACAGTTTTGCTATTTAAGCTTTGATGACACATTGGGGGAGTAGCAGGGCCACATGGAAAGGCATGGCATTGAAAGGGGGCCAATGCCACGCCAGGCAAGGCAGAGCTACTGCCTGCGCAGTGCTGAACTCAGAGAAATCATCAACTGTGAGTTTGCTTGTTGGTGCAGTGGTCCAGTAAGCCACTGGAAAACTTTACCACTGGACCACTGGACCATCTTGCTACCCAGTAGGCACTGTTGCATAACCCTAGTGTCGATGGGGCCTGAAATGGCTTGATCTTGAGGGTCCAAGGGTCTTGAGGAGTCGTGACCCTTACAGGATCTGCCAGAACAGGAAAACCAAGGGGAAGCCAACACCAACCTCCTCTTTTTAGGGAGGGGGCACTGTGATTTGCTAGCAAATCACATGGCGTGGGTCAAAACCCAGAGCACCACTTTTATTGGGCAGCACCCCTTTGCTTGGTCCACTTTGAGAGAGCTTGCGGGGAGTCAGAGGGGTATGAGGATCATTGGACCCTCCATTAGGGTGTTGGGGGTGTCTGAATCCATCATTCTTGTCCCAAACCTCATTTACTGACCCCAACTCCTGGCACTTTGTGAAGGCCCTTATATTTTGGGTCTCGGGCTCCTAGTAGGTATCCAATATGTTCTTTTGGTTTTCATATTGGGTGGCATGCCCTTGGACACCTGCCCTTACCATGGCTGAAGTTTGCTTCAAGTATCACGTGGGAGGAGAAAACAGGGCGCTCTGCACTGGGCTGAAAGTGGCAATATATGTAAACCACAGGGTCAAGTAAACCAGCTTCAACAATTTCCTCAGACTCAGCAAGCTCATGGAGCATCCTGGGCCAGCGTTGGCTGCTCATGGGTAGTGGTGCCCCCCTTCCCCCGGCCCAGGCCTCTGCATGGACTATGGCAAGCTGACCAAACCTCAGAGTGCATGCACGCACAAGATGAGTCTTGGTCACAGTGAGGGTGTGTTTCTGTAGCCAGCATGGACCCTACCTGTAAGGAAACACTTCTTTGCTTAATTAATGAGTGGGGCGCACTTTCTGTGACGTAATCGTTTTGCAATAGCAGCGTGTCATAAAGAGTGTCCAGGCAATGAGAGGGCAGCAGCATGCCAGCATGACTGACAATTCAAACATGACGAAGCCCGGGCGGGCCTCCTCATGCTTGCATTGCGCAATCATGTTTGAGTGCATGGCTGACACTATATGACTCCTATGCACCACAGCTATGTGCTTGAGTCTGAGTGGTAGACTTGTTGAAAGCAAATAGCTTGTGGCATAATGCCAGTGTATGACAGACATGTCAGACACATGTGAGAACGTGTGGGTAACATATGCAAAAGTATGAGAAATGTGTGAGAAAGTATGTAGCATATTTGATGACACATATGAGAGACGCATGAGACACATCTGAGAAACATATGATAGCAACTATGAGACGCGCATGAGAAAATATGACAAACTGTGAGAAATATGAGAAATATGAGAAACTATGAGAAGTATGAGAACTTATGATAAATCTGAGAAAATATGAGAAGCTATGAGAAATATGAGAAAATATGAGAAACTATGAGAAATATGAGAAACTATGAGAAACTATGGAATGTATGAGAAAATATGATACAATATGAGAAATATGAGAAACTGTGATAAATATGATAAACTATGAGACATATGAACAATATGAGAAACTATGACAGACATATGAGAGACATGTACATGTGTTAGACACATACAAAAGTGCGGGGGACATGAGGTGCCTGTCAGAGCACGTTGCATAAGTGCGAGACATTATGAGGAGCAGTGCATGCATGAGATAAGCATGCATATCGTGTGGCTGCTTTATGCCCCCCTTTGGCTTGCGATATGTTCATCACGTACTTCTCACTTGACAGTGTCACTATTGAACACAGTGTTTGCACTGCACTGCAAAGCTCATGAGGGGACCTGACAAGAGATGCAACTATGGGAAGTGTAGCATCTCACACTTGCATTTCTTCTCACTTTTCCCTTATATGGCAGCGGCCCTTCCCTGTGCGCATCGGTTCCGCTTTCCAAGGCATAGCTGAGGAGCACAGCGAGATGTTCTGAGAGGCTGGGGTGGGCAGCATGCAGGTCTAGTGCATGATAGCATGCGCACTTGAAGAGAGTTGAGGTGCAGCCTGCAACTAAATTGCCTGCTATTTGGCCCATGCTGCAGCAGCTCTTTTTTTCTGCAAGGCACTCATCAGCAAACAGCAGGCACTCAGCAGGCACAGCAGCTCAGCACATCTACCCCCCTTCCGACAGCCATGGTTGTTTGCCTTTTGCCGGGGAGAATCTCCTTGGAGTGCCTGGCGGAGTACCGAGAGCTGGCGCAGCGGGAGAACGTTGAGCCTCCCTGTGAGCCAGGACCCTGCCCTTGTCCTGCCCAAACTGCACCCAAGGCTTGGCTAGTGTGTGATTCTGTTACATACAGGGCGCGCTTTGTGCTTTGCAGTCTCCCCTGTGGGTTGCCCGAAGGACGCCTGCCGGTGAGGGTGACGCCTGACTTTATCCCGGTGCTGCTGAAGCCAGTACCAGCTGGGCGACTTCAAGCTGTCACCTGGCGACAGGGGCTGTTGACTTTTGAGCCAGCCCTCCTTGCCTGACACTCAAACCCTGTCCTATGGCTGAGGAAGAAGTCATCCACAGGCAGCTCCAGGAGTGGTTGGAGGAGAACCGGAGAGAGGTGATGGAGGCTTTTGAGCAAGAGAACAGTCCAATTGAGCCAGCCTCCGCCCCAGTGCTTCCAACCAAGGATCTAGTGGATCCAGTGGATCTAGCGCACACAGTCAGGGACTTCCATCCACAGGATCCAGCCACCCCAGAGCCAGAGGATCCAGATCCAGCCACCCCAGATCCAACAGATTTAGTGGAAGTGGACCTAGTCAGTGACTGCGACGCAGAGGATCCAGTGGATCCAGAGCATCCAGCCGACCTAGTGGAGGATCCAGCCACCCCAGATCCAGTGGATCTAGTTGATCCAGGCAGTGATGATGATGATGATGATGCCACTTCAAGGGCAGCACCAAAGATAAGACCCCAGCCCAAGCCCATGCCAAAGCGGGGTCCAGAAAATAAGCATATTGCTCTGCGGGGTGAGTGTGGCCGCCAAATCCCTGATGCGCAGGTCTATTCAGCTGGTCTAGCTCAGCTCTCAAACAAGAAGACCTATGCCATGTTTGATCTGGTGATCCCGCTGCATGCCTTCCACGATCCGGCGAGGGACACCAGGCACATGGGCACGAACCCCGTCATTCAGCTGAGGATTGCCCAGCATCCCAAGTTTGCTGTCATGCTGCCCCCTGGCTTCAGAGCTTGCTGGCGCGGGTTTCAGTCAGACGAACCTTTGTCAAACTTACTTGGCGCTAACTGAGGAGGGGGCTTTTTTGCTGGCTCCAGTGGCTCAAGGCGATCAAGACGCCACAGACCTTCAGCCTCTGCTTTGCCTGCAGTGCTGGTAGACACCGGAGCG